CATACATACATATACATATACATGCATTACTTGTGCATATTTCTTAGCTTGCCTCAGCAACAGACTCAATTCTTGTGATCAACCCAGACACAGCAAGAATAAGCAATTTCCTCTTGGTTTTGACGCACATGCCCTCATTATACTCTGTTGTCATGGCTGCTCAGTCACTACTAAAACAAAAAGAAGTGAGTGTGATGTGGATGAGAAGAAAAGTAAATGGATGAATCTGTGGATAGATAATAGGGACAGCAGTGTTGACGTAAAAGATTAGAAGGCTAGAATATCGAGGGATGGATAGTGCACGAGAGAAGAGGTTTACATGAATCAAGTCCTTAAGTCGCTTGTCTTTCCCCGCTGCCTTAATTGGTAGCAAATTCCATGGGATATTTTAGTGTTTCAGCTATTTTCTCCTCTCTCCCCTTCCCCATTCATGGCCATACCGCTTGTCAAACGCTCCCTGCCTTACTCTAATCAGAACGGTGCAGACCGTGCACAGTTGATTACACGCACAGACACACACGGTGCAAGCACACATCAGATATGGGGTTTGAAAGGCAGTGGCATTGCAGTGTTTGATAATTGTCAGGCCTGCTCAGTAAGCTGCAAAGCCTCTTCCACATATATCTGCCCAAAGTGTCAACCAAGCCTCCCTTTTCTCTGCTGTGTAGAAACTTTCTCCCTGTTTCCCTCTCTCATATCATTTGTTCCCGCTTCCCGCAGGAGAGTCTGTGTCTGTGATCAAACACACCGACCCTGTGCCTGACCCACGGGCTGTCAACCAGGACAAGAAGAACATGCTCTTTTCTGTGAGTGACTCACACGCTGATTTCAGTCGTCTGTTCAGTATTATTTTACATTTTTTGTTTTTGCATCTGACTACACCTACAAAAGCAGCAATCCTCTGCTGTCATCCTCCTACTCATTCCCTCTATTGTTTTTTATCCCACCATCCCTCTTCACTTCCATTTTCTTTTTTGAGAGTGACAGCACTTTTGGAAACTATTGAATTATCCATTTATAGCTTTCCTTTTTCTGTCTCGTCCATGCAAGAGAACATACAATAACAGTGCATGTCTGAACAGCTGGTGTCCATTAATCTATAAAAGACATTGTCACATGTGCTCCCATGGCAGTTTACACTGTTTCTGAAATATGTTGAGGAACACAGTGCATTGACGTCCTGCATGTTGACACTTGCTGCATATTGAACCTCTTCTGTGTCTCTGTGACACCTCTCGTAATAGTTGTTAAACTAGTTTTACCCCTATGGCCAGAAGCCTAATGTGTAATATGTTTTGTTTTTTGCTAACTGCTTTCCACGTCTGCCTGACAGGGCACCAACATTGCAGCTGGTAAGGCTGTTGGCGTGGTGGTGGCCACAGGCGGCAACACAGAGATTGGCAAAATCCGAGATGAGATGGCATCGACAGAGCAGGAGCGCACGCCACTGCAGCAGAAACTGGATGAGTTCGGACAGCAGCTATCCAAGGTAATTTGTTAAAGTATTTCTCACACTGGGTACAAAATGTTGATTAAACAACCTCAACATGTATAATGTTGATTCCAGTTATGGTTATCTGTTAATGACCTTTACGTGCAATCCAATGTTGTATAACCCAAGGTCATTACACTGATCTGCATCGCTGTGTGGATCATCAATATCGGACATTTCAATGACCCCGTCCACGGAGGCTCCTGGATCCGAGGTGCTGTCTACTACTTCAAGATCGCCGTGGCTCTGGCAGTTGCTGCTATCCCTGAGGGTAAGCTGGAGAGCTACACACGTGCAGCGTTGCCCTTGACATGCTTCTTGCTCTGAGAGCTTCCATTGCTGTGCCATTATTCAGACTGCATGAGCAGTTGGTAGGAAAAGCCTACTTTATGGGGTGTTTTTCAATCTGTCATGATACAGGGACAGGCGAGATAGCATTTTGCTCACTTGAGTAAATAAATTAATATAAATGGATGTTTCCTTTTTTCCCTCTGACCCCTTATCTCCCTCGCTGTATGTTTTAATCCTCTCTTCCTCTGTGGTTCTGTTGCTATTTCTCTTCAGGTCTTCCTGCTGTCATCACTACTTGCCTGGCTTTAGGAACACGGCGCATGGCCAAGAAGAATGCCATTGTCCGCAGTTTGCCATCTGTGGAGACCCTTGGCTGTACATCTGTCATCTGCTCTGACAAGACCGGCACGCTCACCACCAATCAGATGTCTGTGTGCAGGGTAAGAGAAGAAGGGACAGAAGCAGTGAAACCTCAGAAAAAGCTTGATTGTGTTGGGATTTGCAATTTTTTTTGATAAATCTGATATTAACACACATCATGATCTAGATACAGAGCAGAATTGCATTTTAATTTCAGGGATTTCTGATGGGACTAACCTAGCCAGCTAGTTTTGGCAATCATAAGGTGTTTTTGGAGTCCCTGAGAGGACTTGCCCACTGGCGAACTACTTGCCTCCAAGGGCTTTTTCTTCTGTTTGCATTCCCACCATTATAGGACCGCTGAAGTCACAAAGAAGTTAAACTCATGTTGTTTTTCCAACCGTCGCATGTATACTCAGTAAAGCCTTGGCTTTACTGTTGGGCCATTTCTCTATTTTGTTACATTTTTTTTTGTTTTGTTTTGTCTGCTGTTTACACAGCTAATGGATTTTTAAAAATGGCAGTCGCTGGTGCTGCATTGGCTTTGTATGATCACAGTGTTCTTACCATGTTCAGACCAATAACTGTACACGTATGTCACTTATAGTTTTTCTTGTCCTGGGATAAAACATATAAAAGTCCCTTCAAATGGCGCTCTAAGAAATACGATTCTAGTTCTTGTAGTGCGGACGCAACAAAAAGGGGGGGTTTTAGTACTATGAAAAAGTTCCTCTGGTCCGAAAACGCCTAGACTGTGGTGTAACCCGACAGGAATCTGCTGTTAGAGTAAGATGTTGAACAAGATTTCACAGCTTGTCATTATCTCTTATCTTGACTAATGTTCTAACATCAATTGAAGTTAAAGGAGAAGTCCGGTATTTTGCACTTTGAGCCCCATTTCTGGGTTGTTTATGATGAAATAGAGTGGCTAAGACCAAAATAGTGACGATTGCTCATTTTCAGAGAATTTGGCTTAACACTGCTGCTTATGGCCATGTGTGAGCCTGTCCCTAAAACCACCCTAAACGTTAGTTTTCAAAGCGTGATCAGTGGTTAGTGGTGTTCATTGATGTTTTGATGTAAAAATCGTAGCAAACTGTGGTTTCCGTGATGATTTATTTGACATTTTGTCTAATCCATTGGTTTTCTATAGAAGCCTCATTGTCCGTTGGTAGTAACCAGCCATCGGAAACAGAAAGGGGGTTGTTTACGACAAGGTTGTAGTCTTTGTAGTCTTTTAGCTCAGCGAAAGTGCCGGCTCGACTGTCCTGTGCGCGCTCCTGGAGGAAGAACGAGAACAAATGAAAAAGTTTTGTAATAAGTTTACACAACTGCACAATGGATTACTTGCTTGTAAACAGCCTTCGCAGTACAGTGCCTTTGAACACAACGCCAGCCTCCTTCTTCTGCTTCTTCTGTGTCCCATTACATTGCAATGGTTTCCTGCCGGTTGGCGACACCCACGTAAAGGAGCATTATCGCCATCAAGTGGGCTGGAGTGTATAACGCTTCAGGGTCAAACGAACGATCAAGCGGAAGTTTACACACGGGTGTGAGGCAGCTGAAAAAATAGTTCCGCAATTGAGATGAATAGAGGATGATTTTTATGTCAGAACATCAACGAACACCACTGACCACTCGGTGAGTTTCATGGCTTTGAAAACGAATGTTTAGGGTGGTTTTAGGACAGATTCACACATGGCCATAGGCAGCAGTGTTAAGCCAGGCGGGGCAGGGGAAAACCAAATTCTCCGAAAATGAGCAATCGTCACTATTTCGGTCTTAACCACTCTATTTTCATCATAAACAACCCAGAAATGGGGCTCAAAGTGCAAAATACCGGACTTCTCCTTTAATTATACCTGACTGTTAGGACTTTCTAAATAGAATGTTAATATCATTTATTGGTGTAAGGATTTATATTCATTTGATTGAACTGGGAATCAGAAGTCCTATATTTACTCAGGTTCCTGTATTTACCCCACAGGCTATTTGTTAGCATTGTTGAAAGCAGTCATTTAAAGTCAGCTCATTAACTGTCAACTGCCAGCTCAGTTCACTTAAAATGATGTTGACATTGTTAGCATAGCCAACAATATTTACATGGTTTCATAGTAACCAGTGTGACTATGCAAATAGTTGTTGTGTACTTAATAATGTCAACAAGTGAGAGTGTCAGACTCGGCTTCTAACTAGTTCACATTGTATAATTATAACAAAAGTCTTGTATGATCAATTATCAGACAAAAATAATTGACCATTATGACAAGACTGAGGATTCTGACAAAAACTGTTCATCATAACCATTCATGCAGCCTTGTCTACATGTGTCAGTGATGTATTGACTTCATCAGATCACTTGGCCACAGTCATCCCATAATTACTCCATGCTAAGGAATACTAGGTAAAACCCCCACCAGCAAAGCGTAATAAATGAGCACTCAGTGACAGGACATGCTCAATGTGTCTTACCGGATGACTTGATTGAGAGTTAATTGCAGATAGAGTGAGCGAGTGAAATGAGTGTTCTTCTTGTACCTCAGAATAGCATCACATCAGGGAAAATATTTAAGTGGCACACCATAATAATTAAACAGAAGACGCAGTGGACCCTGTGGAGTTGAAGCTGTCAGTGATTAAATTGAGTTTTCCATCTCTTATAAAGCTCTTTTCCCTGACCTCATTTTTCGGTACCAAAATTCTCTTGAAACAGCAATTACTATTCAAGTTGTTCAGAGGTATGACATTCACTCTGATGGCCCTTGATGGCTGTCTATATCCTCCACAGGGCAGCCATACTGTGACACCGTCTGCAGTGTATAGGAACGGGAAGAAAAATGGCAGAAAATTCCAAAAATAAGTTGAATTTTAAAACAGCTGCCATACATGGAGAGAGCAAGTTCTGGCCATGCTCCAGATAACTGAGAACTTTTGAAGTGTAAACTTCTCACTGAGGAATAAAGCAAGACTTATGGCCTTTTGCTGACAGCAGGGATTTTTATAGAATGAAGCACTACTGACTTTGAATGGCTAATAACGGATAATGAAGGACTTAGCTGTACACAGGTGTATGTATTTATCTTTCCATCCCCTCTGAGCATGAACAGCTTCAGGCTATATGAACTATTACCTATTTAGTGCCTATTTTAGTCGTACAAAGTGTGTATAGTGTTGCTTCACAGCTCATTTTTTGACATTGTACGTCTCCCCTCTGCTCCATCCCTCCATCTTTCTTAGTGCTATTCTTCATATCTGCTCGGTCTTTCGTCCTCCGGTCTCCCCTCCTCATTTTACTCTCCTACCCCTTCTTGTTCAGGCTGCATGCTGATCAGTATGCAGTAGTTAGTCACTTGCAGCAGAACCAGCAGTAGAGTTGCATAACTGACCTTGTGTTGAAAGACCCCCCCCTCCTCGTGTATCTCCTCTTCCCTTGCTCATCCTGCAGAATTTTCTTAAAGTCAATATTATGTTAAGCTAATGAGAAAGACCTCATTTTGGAAACCATAGGACGCTGCCTATAGTCAATAACAGAGAAGCTTCTGCTTGATGCATCCCCATCCAAATAGGGCAGGACTTAGTAACTGAGTATTTCTCCTCAATTCAGTTCCTTACTTGTTGTTGTTTTGTAAAGGATGCTACTGACATCACTGCTTTTTGTAGTCTTGCTGGTGCCTGAGGGGAGTGCAGCCATAATGCCAGCTCATCATTTTATTCAGATACTTCTATGTTCATCCCTCAAGTATCCCTCAGAATGTGTAGCTTTGTATGTAAGAAAGTGTGAGAGTATTTCGACTCAAAACCTCTATTAGTCATTTATTTTCTACCTTTTTTTTTCTCAGGTTTAGCCTTGGTCTTGGAAAAAAAAGAACAGCCTCTTATATTTAGATAAGGAACAAAATACTAATTTGGCTATTTATGTGGGTAATATAATTTTCCTTTGCACCTTCAATTGAAAATCAACTTTCATGAACCTCCTTGCACTATAACCAGCCTCCCTACCCAAAGGTTTGGATACTCAAGGTCAAATTATTTCCGCCTTCGAGTGATTTACTTTCATACACATGTAGTGTGACTGCACACGGAGGAATTCTGTTTCTGCCTCGCTGTGAGATGACATTTATGGACCCTTCCCACCAGAGTGCTCAGCGTCTGCTATAGCTCAGCATTTCATTATTATATTCTGCTTTATGTTGAGGCGGACTCATGATATGAAGGTTTCCGTCCTGTGGATGGTGGTCTGCTGCCACCTGCTGGATGTTAGGTCCATTACAATCTCAGCTTTTTTCTGTCCATCTTTTCTTCTTGGCATGTAGACCTAACTATAATATAGTATGATACAGTCAATTACTGATATTTTGTCTCTACAATGTTTGTGTCTCCAGATGTTTATCATTGATCAGGCAGAGGGTGACCACTGTTCATTAAAGGAATTCACCGTTACCGGCTCCACATATGCCCCAGATGGAGAAGTGTGAGTATTCTCAGTCTCATACGCCTGTGTGCCATTCGATGAGTATATTGTAATATTGTATGTAAAACAAAATCAATCCCACTACTTTAAAGGGATCCTTTCAACCTAATGCGATCATTTATTTTGGAACGCTTTGATGTAAACCATGTGGGTTTCATCATGTTACAAACACAAACCCCACCTTGTTTTTAATGGAATCTGCACAGCCGGCTCATTTGCTGCTTCCTGTCTTCGCCTGTTTTGTTTAGGTTCCATGATGGCAAACCAGTCAGATGTTCCCAGTATGATGCCTTGGTGGAGCTGGCCTCTATCTGTGCTCTCTGTAATGATTCCTCACTGGACTATAATGAGGTTGGTAGGGAAGCTTTTGCATGCATTGCATGTTTTTTGTGACATTTTCTGATGAAGATTGATCATATGGTTTTTCCTGTCTCTCTGCCTGTGTCTGTTCAGACCAAAGGTGTGTATGAGAAGGTGGGTGAGGCCACAGAGACAGCGCTCACATGCCTGGTGGAGAAGATGAATGTGTTTGATACAGATGTCAAAGGCCTGTCCAAGATTGAGAGAGCCAATGCCTGTAATTCTGTACGTAATCTCTTTTTCTATAAAGTCATTTCCTACCAATAGAGACCAATTGCAGAAAGACGACTAACAAACTGCCATCTTGTTTTATTAAATCTCCAGGTGATCAAGCAGCTCATGAAGAAAGAGTTTACACTGGAATTTTCCAGAGACAGGAAGTCCATGTCTGTGTACTGCACTGCTAATAAGGCCCGCTCCTCTGTTGGAAAGATGTTTGTGAAGGTAAGAAACAGACAAAGTGAGAATCACTCTTGGGTTTGAATTTTCCAAGGTGGGAACATACAAAACATGACTTTACTGATGTTGCTAGATAGTGTTGACCAGCTGTCTATCAACATTTTAAATATTTGTCCCTTAAAATGCTACAAAATAAGATGTTTTACTTCTTTAGATTGTTTCTCTTACAGACTGTTTTGTCCTTTCCTTTGTATTCTCATCCCCCTGTCTGTGCCTACTCATAGGGTGCTCCTGAGGGAGTGATTGACAGGTGCACGCACATCCGTGTAGGCAGCAACAAGGTGCCCTTGACCCCTGGCATCAAGGAAAAGCTAATGTCTGTGATCAGGGAATATGGAACTGGCAGGGACACCCTGCGCTGTCTGGCTCTCGCCACCCGAGACCACCGCATGAGCAAGGACGAGCTGGCGTTGGAGGACTCCACTCGTTTTATTGAGTATGAGGTGAGAGCCGGGGCGGGTGATGATTTCTCCTATGGCTTTTGTCTCACTTTTGGTTTCTAGGTTCCTCTTCAGGTGTGACGTTGTTGACTGTCAGTGTCTGATGGTTTTAAGTGAGAATAAGGAAAATAATCTGAATGTTGCTTCTATTTCTGTTTTGTCATCTAGACTGATCTGACATTTGTTGGCTGTGTGGGCATGCTGGATCCCCCCAGGGCAGAAGTGGCAGCCTCTATTCGACTCTGTCGCCTTGCAGGCATCCGAGTAATCATGATCACTGGAGACAATAAGGGTACGTAGAGAAAGTCACATCTGCTTAGGGAGAAAATTAACTTCTTTTTAACGGTGTTAATTTTAATGTGACATAGAGCATTCTTCACTAAACACAAAGGAAAATAGTCACAATAATTCTGCTACTCACTCACATTCCAGGAATGGCTTGACAAGTACATGTGCCCTCTTTGTATCTCAGGGACAGCTGTGGCTATCTGCAGACGCATTGGTATTTTCGGAGAGGATGATGATGTTTCCAGCATGGCTTTCACTGGCCGAGAGTTTGATGATCTGTCGCCTGCTGCACAGAGAGATGCTGTGGTTAAGGCCCGCTGCTTTGCCCGTGTCGAGCCTTCACACAAGTCCAAGATTGTTGAGTACCTGCAGTCCTACGATGAAATTACAGCTATGGTAAGAAAAGGACCTCTGGCCTCGCCCATAAAATGTTATTATCTACCATCTGTTAGTTTATTCTTTTTTAAACATGAACAGTTTCCTCCAAACCAAAATGATCTTGAAATAAAATCAAATAAAATCAGCGGTCTCCAAGTGGAAATTTATTACACACTGTAAAATACTGCTTCCTAATTTCCTGCTGTGGTTTTTGCTCTCCCCTCAGACTGGTGATGGAGTCAATGACGCTCCAGCTCTAAAGAAGGCTGAGATTGGTATTGCCATGGGCTCAGGCACAGCTGTGGCCAAGACCGCCTCTGAGATGGTGCTGGCTGATGACAACTTTTCCACCATCGTAGCTGCAGTGGAGGAAGGCAGAGCCATTTATAACAACATGAAGCAGTTCATCAGATACCTCATCTCCTCAAATGTGGGCGAAGTTGTCTGGTAAGTATGACTCGTTTATGCACAGTCCCTCTGAAATACACACAAAACCTCAACACAACAATTTATTTAACTCTGTCATTATCATAATCATGCTTCTCTTGTGTGCAGCATCTTCCTGACTGCAGCTCTTGGATTCCCTGAAGCCCTTATCCCTGTTCAGCTGCTCTGGGTCAACCTGGTGACTGACGGTTTGCCCGCCACTGCTCTGGGCTTCAACCCACCAGACTTGGACATAATGAGCAAGCCACCACGCAACGCCCGTGAGCCCCTCATCTCTGGATGGCTCTTCTTCAGATACCTAGCCATTGGATGTAAGTGTTTGCAGCATGTGTATGTTTCTGTTCTTCACTGGGTCGACTCAATGCCAGAGAATCTGGGGGAAACAAAATCGCCAAACATTAACTGGTATTTAAGGAGCCTGCTGATATTCTTTTGTGTCCACTATTGTTTGTACAAAAGTGCTGATAGAAAACTTGAGGAGGCATCACTGCACACTGAATCCTGACAGGATGTGAAAGTAAAGTTAGTTTAGGTAGACATTAGAAAACACACGTCTAATTGCAGTTTGCGTTCATCTTGGATTTAAAAACCAGACATCTGTATCATTATGTGTGTGTATCTGAGTGATGTGTTTTTTGTTTGATCCCCAGGTTATGTTGGTGCTGCCACCGTTGGTGCTGCTGCGTGGTGGTTTGTTGCTGCTGAGGATGGTCCAAGGATCACTTTTTACCAGCTGGTATGAATGAACAGCCAAACAACCACTGTCACACTGTAGGGATGTTCCTGGCGACTAATTTCCCTGTCGACTAAATGAAAATTTTAATTAAGACTAGTCGACTCGTCTAAAAAAAGGAAAACACTCAGAAAACAGTCAAAATTAAGTATTTTAAACATTGTTCCAACAAATATTGTGTGTATTAAGAGCCCTTTGAAGCCTTTAATCACAATCCTCAGCAACCATGTCGGATTTTAAATGCTGCTGAAGTACGAGACACTTTGCGTGTTATGTGAACATGACGGCAACTCAGTCAAAAGTTAACCACTTAAAATTATCAAATAATATAACATCTCAAAAAGATGAATTGCTGCTGAATTCATTTTCTAGATCAAAGTACTGCCACACAGCGCTGGTTTTGCGGGAGGACATCTCTCTTATTTCCCGCCATGCTGTTTTAAAACTCCAGTCTACTGGAGCATTACTGCGGGGAGGGGGGCTGCTGTCTGACGGCTCTGTAGCGCCCACTAGTGGCGGGCAGCTGCACGACAGTTAAGCTGCCTCGTACATGAATACTAATAGGTTTAACTAACTAATAGTTCTGAGTCCGACTACCGAGGTCTAAGTCTGATCGCGCGTGTCCCTGGATTAAACACACTTCAACAGTAACATTTAGATTTTATCTGCTGCTACCTTTAACTGGTATTCTCTCTCTCTCTTCCAGAGCCACTTCCTGCAGTGTGGTCCAGAGAATCCAGACTTTACGGATCTGGACTGTAAAGTGTTTGAGTCCCCTTACCCTATGACCATGGCTCTGTCTGTGCTGGTCACCATCGAGATGTGCAATGCCCTGAACAGGTGAGTCTGAGCAAGGCGTCCTCCCAGCCAAAAGATTAGCAGGTCTAACATGTTCAGAATGATTTGTTTTAGTCCACTTAAACAAAAGCTATCATCTTTTTCCTCAGATAATGCTCTCTGTGGCCAACTTAACTTCAACTTTCACACACAACCCGTGTGTTTTATGTGGAATGATAAACATACAGTGCAGTATTTGTTAGTTTTGGCTCTGAAGTCAGTGTGCAAGTTTCTAACAAACATGTCCGTTTGTCTTTGTTGTTGCTCAGTGTGTCAGAGAACCAGTCCCTGCTGAGGATGCCTCCCTGGGAGAACGTGTGGCTGCTGGGAGCCATCTGCCTCTCCATGTCCCTGCACTTCCTCATTCTCTACGTGGAGCCTCTTCCTGTGAGAAATATTTCCTTTAGTTTGACACAGAGAATGTGATACTGTGGAATGAGTAATGCAAGAAATGTTGTCGGTTATTTGGCTCAAATTGTGATCAAGTCCGATCTGTGCCTGAGACTGAACCAGAGTTTGACATATGTCTTGTGTGCTTCCTCTCAGATTATCTTCCAGATCACCCCCCTGAATCTGACACAGTGGCTGATGGTGCTAAAGATCTCACTGCCTGTCATACTACTTGACGAGATGCTCAAGTTTGCCGCCAGGAACTACCTGGAGCCCGGTAAAGAACTGGAGAAGCCCGCCAGCTGCAAAAGCTGCTGCCTGTCTGCATGCATGGAGGGCATCTCCTGGCCCTTCGTGGCCATCTCCCTCCCCTTGGTCCTCTGGATCTACAGCTCCGACACTAACTTGGCCGACATGTTCTGGTCCTGACTGACTTGAGCACAACCTCGACTCTTTCCATTTCCTCCCCCCGCCCCCACCGCCATCACCTCCCTCTGTCCTCTCCCTCTTCCCTCTCTGCCTTCCTTACATGTGCATAGCTTGCGTGCGTGCGTGTTTGTAGAGTTAGCGTGTGTACTTGTGCGTGCCTATCGCGTGTGTGTACGAGAAGGACCAACTTTAACACATGAAAACGTAACAATTAATATACTGTTAACATTAAGAAGTCACCTGGTTTGAGTTGGGAACGGCTTTTTGAGTGGGTGAGGCTTTAAATGAGAGTGTTAGAAGACCATCACTCCCGTAGCTGTGGACTTTGTTGCTGGTTTGAAAGAAAATATACTGTTGCCAGTTTTTTTTTATTATTATTATTATTATTGTCAATATTGCCTTGAAGGTTTTTATTTTTAATGATTTGGGGAACATATGTCTCATGTCACTACAGTAACAGCAGCATTTTGTTTCACTTCCCTCGTCATGAAAGTAATCCAAGAAGCCCATTGATTTGTATAGAGATTGAATTTTATGCAACTTTTTTTATGGCTTTGTCAATTGTTTGACCAGCGTGGCTTAGACATACCGCCTTCATTTATTTTCTCATGTTTACCATTGTGTCTTCAGTATAAACTCAGAGCTCTTTCAGAGAGGACAAGCTCCGTGTGGCAGACCAGGACGGGGGGAAAGGTTTGGGAGTGAACATTCGAATGCTCCGCTTAAACAAAAAGGAAAAAAAAAATATCATGACAAACAAAAGCCCCATGTCCTGTGACCAAGCATGAACTGTATGTGGTTTCTCATCCCTAATTTAATGTGTATGTCGTGTCCCCCCCCCCCTTCATGTTGGAGTATAAATAAACCTCATGGATTTTTTTTTTTTTTTTTTACTATAATGATTTGAAAATAAGCCAGTTTTTCTGCACTGGGCAGAGCACAGCTACCTCAATATGATAAATTTTGTTTTGCTCATCTCTAGATGCTTTTCCGAAACGGTCTTGCTACAACGTAACATCCGAGGTGTGCCCCTATTTGCTTGTGCAGAAAACAAAGAACAAAATTTTCCTTCCCTCTAACATTTTTAAGGATATATTTTGTTTGTGTTGATTTTTTTTTTTTTGGACTCTCATTAACTTTATTTGTGTTTTGCTTTGGAGACAGAACTCCATGCTGTTTGATTCAAAGGACAGTGATGTTAAGAATCCTAAGAAATAAATACTAATACACAACTCCAAAATGATCTTGGAAATAAGAACCCAAAATGTTGTTTTTTTTTTACGTCAAAGAAAAATACACTCATAAACCCTTTGAATCAAAGTGTTTTCTGTCTTTATTTAACAAGGCCAATTATGGACATGATTCATATCCAGTGTTTTTTTGTATGTGCATTTAATACTTGAATACAAATCATTTCAGACATATGAATGCTCCGGTGTCCTTGGCACAACATGACGGGAGAGCAGCGACAGATTTGTGTATATGTGACTCTTACAGACTTTAATATCTCAAGGTCTTAGTTTGCTCTGGGCGTGACACACTCTGGTAGTGTACACATGTTGGATCTCAGCCCACACAGTCGACCGCACTGATCTTAAGCATTACTTTGTGTGAGGAAATCTAAAGCATGTTTTTTGGGTAGATGCCTGGGTTTGTTCGCACCGTGTGTTTGTGTTCCACTTACAACTGTGTGCTTTTCTTCCTCAATGCCTTCCATTGGCTCCCCTGTCACTAGAGTGAGTATCCATTTGCTTTTTTTTGTCACACTCTGCCAAATACAATTCACCACAGTAGAATTTAAAGAAACAAAAGGGCAGTTTTAAAGGAACATTCCACCATTTAAAAGAAGCATTTTGAGTTGTAAATGTAGTTCTTCCTCACCTTGATGCGGTGTCAATGTCAACCACATTCCACCATTGTGAATGTCACTGTGTGCTGATCTGTTCACCGCTCTGACACATGCCTATATTCCCAAAATCAATACCTGTTGTCTTAGTTTTTTGGTAGAAAAATTGATTTTAAAATTGCAATCTTTCTTTTGTATTAATGTTTTTTTCCTTCTCCCTTCTAGGTTGGCTCTCATAAAAGCTTCGCACATTTGTAAGAGTGGGCTCCGAGGCTGGAGTCACCCTACCATCCAGCATGTGCGCTCACTCTTACTCCACACACCTCAGACACCATGACGACCAGCAGTATGTGTGTACCCTTGCACAAATTTAAAGAAAAAAAGGACATGTTTCACAGTAATAAGACCAAAATACATGTACTTAAACACACACGCACACACACTTCTTAATACACTTATACCTCTGTGTGCAGATGCTATATCAATATGACACTATTCCAGTTTTGTGTGCAGGGAGAGTTTTCGACGCCCTCGATGTTCCTTCTTGCATGAAGAACTTGTTTCTGACTTCCATGGTAGCTCGTCATGTAGAGAATCTTTAAAATACCGGGTCGAACGGTCTTAGCTGTACATCAGTGTACAAAACATTCATGCATGCGTTCCAGCTGTACGTAGGCTTTGCGATTTGTATTTATAGATTCTAATGTATGATACTCAAATGACATATTAAGATGGTTTTAAGATGGATATATCATAGATATGTAAATCACTGTTTTTATTGTAACGGTTTGGGTAATTTGCACAATAGAAGACATGGAGAAGTGACTCATGCTGAACTTGACTGTGCTCTACTGGAGGTTTTTAAACGCTGATTTCTCCCCTCCGACAGGTACTGTAGGCCGATCACTGACTCATTTACTTTCTGATGAGGTAGTCCTTTGCAATGAGGGCAACAGACTAACACTTTGATTCATTGGTAATCCTGCAATACAACAGTGTTCTCCTGTTTTCTTATTGCATCTGCGTTACTACTACTATTATTATAATTATCATCATGTATCTTTATCAACTGCTGTAAAACTGTGATCTAATGTGAGGGGGCCCGTGCTGTCCCCTCAGCGACACCTGGTCGAAGAACAATATTAACCATATGTAAAAATACGATCATTATTGATGAGTAATGATGGTTGTACATGCATTACTGAGGTTGTGGTTTCAGGTAAATAAAACAATATAGTATTTCAACTGTGTCATTTTGCATTCTTTCATGATGTTTTGTCACTTTCACAAAATTAGTTATTTATGGGATTAAAAACATCAGTACCACTGGGTTAACTATTCAGCAAAGATCTACACTAAGATCTTTTATAAAGCCCTCATAGAGTGGTGATATTGATGTCAACATAGTATGAAAGTGTACTGAATTCACATTAAGGGAAAAATGCCGTTTTTCTGGTTTGACAAGATTATTATCAGAATTATATCAAACACTTTCATGAATAAAGAGTGCTTGTTTCTTTGAATTGATGAAATTGTTATCTCAAATTTTGTGAGAAAACTTAATGAAAAAAAATCTTCTAAATTAATCAAGTGCCTTGGAATTATGAGAAAAACTTTCATTTAACAAAAGCCCGTATTTTTCTGAAATACAGAGATTATTATCTCAGATTTATGAGAAAAGTTTTTATAAAAAAAAAATGAATTAACGTGAATTAGGAAGATTATTATGCCAGTATTCCGAGAAAAGATTGTTGTTCTTGTTTTTCTGTATTAAATTATCTCAAAATTATAAGAAAAAATTAATGGAAGGAAAGAAATCTGCATATTTTTCTATTATAATTGTTGTTGCTCAGTGTGTCAGAGAACCAGTCCCTGCTGAGGAAACAAAGAATTATGAGAAAAGAAATAATGAACAAAATTCTTTCTCTGAATTAACAAGAGCATTATCATGGTATCCTGAAAGATTTAACTTTAAAAAAACTGCTAAAGTAAACTTGTTTTTATTATCTCAGAATTATTAAAACAAAATAAATTTAAAAAAAAAATAATAATGGAAGGAAAAAGTCTTATTTTTCTGAATTAACAAGGCTATTAGCTATATGGATTTTTTTTTTTTTTTTTAAAGAAAAAGTATCTGATTAATAGGAAATGTTTTCATGGAAGAACAAAATTTCTCCTGAATCAACATGATGTGTGAGTGTTCTGTAATTATGAGAAAACTTTTCATGGAAAAAAATCGAATTCATGAGATTATTATCCCAGTATTCTGAGAAGATATTTCATTACAAAAAATAAAAAGACAAAAACAAAACAAAACAAAAAAAACATTGTTTTTCTGTATTAAATTAATCCCAGAATTATGAGAAAAAAATCACTGAGATTTTTTTCTGAATAATTCAGATTATTATCTCAGGTAAGAATGTTTTCATGAAGAAAAGATTCAAGGCCTACTCTTGTTTTTCTGAAATAATGAGATGATCTGTGATAATCTCGTTAAATTCAGAAAAAAACAATAAAGATTTTTTTTTTCCATGTCAACTTTTTAATAACCGAGATAATAATCGTGTTAATTCAGATAAAATATTTTTTCACTGGACTTCGCTTCTGTACCATGGAGCACCAGATGTGTGTACACTAATATGACATTCCTCCACTGGGTGGCAGCGTTGAGTTAAAGATCCCAGCAGCACTCCTGCATTTTCTGTAACACCTGCTTGACAGGTACAGCCACTAGCTTTTAAAGGAACCCAGGAGTAATGTGATCAAATTATTCTGATTATTAACTTTAAATAAAATGTGCATTAGCAAAATAATGGAAGAATTGATAGCTTACTGGTTTAAAGGACATTTAAAAGGCAATGTTAAAACCTGTATCTGTGGCAGTCTATGATTTCTAGGCTCTGTGGATCTGAGTGTGCAGCCAAGAAAGAAACCAGTAATAATGCAGTGAAATACATGTGTGTGGGTTTTCCAGAATAATGAGGTCTGTGGTGCTGATGCGAAATATTCTCTTAAAACTTAAGATGTGAAAGTAAGTTTCAGCAGTTGAATTTTACATCCATAAAACACCCCTGGATCAGTAATGAGCTGAGGAGGAGGCTGCATCCCTGCTCTGTCTCTTTAACCAGCAGGCTCCCTGTCACTCTGGTCCCTCCCATTCCTGCAGCCCTCCAGTGTTGCTGGCCTGAGATGGGAGCGCACACAGCGGCGGCACCATCACGGCCCAAGAAACGGGATAAACCTGGAAAAGAACAGGGGAAAAATAATCAACAATACCACATATGTACCGTGGGGAACAATGGGATAACGACGCAGTGATTCCACTCACACCGGATCTCACCGCTCAGCCGCGCGCTCTAAGAAACTCAGATGTTGTCGTCGCTTGTGATTTGCGCTTTTTCTCCTTTCTCCTTGAGCGCTGCTGGTACAAAGGCGCCTGGTGTGGAGCAGCAGCAGCACCTGGGATTACGCTTACATGAATGGGGCAGAGTGAACGGACCTGCTAAACCCGGAATAGTAGACGGAGACAGTGAGTAAACCCACGCAGGATTAACACACTTTCTTCTTTCTCTCCGTGGGAGTCAGATCCCCGTGTCATCCTGCGAGGACAGATGCTGTCATTGTGTCGAGGCTGAGATTTAAAAGAAAACAAAAATCTTCTCAAAGTGTCCTATTCTGGAATAATGCATGAGAGAGACTGCAGTTTTTTATTCCTATTCATGCCCCGCACATTCCCAGTTATTCCAGTGACTGAGCAGCCGGTTTCTCTTGTTCACACTGGGATGTATTGTTGCATCTGCGCAGCCCACGACAAGTGTCAGCAATTAGACTGTGTGTGTGTGAACGGGTTACCTAAAGGCCTGTTTTAAACACTGCTTTCTAACTGTAAGTGGCCATTGTTGTCGAGGAGGACTCAGTGGAGAACAGGACTGGGAAATAAGGGGCCAAACCGTGCGCCCTTGGTGTGATTCTCCAGCGTGCGCGCGCCGGGGTCGATCACAGAGATAGATTAGGCACAATATGGTGGAACCGGTTGGATTCATCGAGGCGTGGAAAGCGCAGTTCCCCGAGTCCGAGCCCCCCAAAATGGAGCTGCGATCTGTTGGTGGCATCGAGCAGGAGCTGGAGAAGTGCAAAGCGTCCATCAGGCGCCTGGAGCAGGAGGTGAACAAGGAGCGTTTCCGTATGATCTACCTGCAGACCCTCCTGGCCAAGGAGAGGAAGAGCTATGATAAGCAGCGGTGGGGCTTCAGGAAGACGCCTCTGGGTGAAGGGATGGACCCTGCGGCCACACAGGGCGCAGAGTGCCAGTCCCAGCAGCCGCACATGCAGGAGACTGGTGGAGTTGGAGTAGGAGTGGTTGGTGGAGGGTATGGAGGTGGTAGTATGGATAGGAGCCGCTATCAGCCTCTTGGAGACGGAGCTGGGAGATCTAAACCCAGGCCTCCACCAGCCAGGAAGTCTGCCTCCCACGGAGACGGCCTGGAGTCAGCCTTTGAGGTCCCCCAGCAGGCTGAGTCGACATCCTGCGACAACCTCGATGGCCTCTCCCCATCCAAGCAGAGAGGTGGTATCTCCGTGTCGCCCCGCAGGCTCAATGTGCCACCCACAGAGAAGGACCTGCCCTCTGACCCCAAAGACAAGATGGGGATGGGGCTTGGCGTGGCAGCTCTCAGGTCCAACTTCGAGAGGATCAAACGGGCCAACTCTCACTCGGCGGGGGATGTAGCAAAGGGCCAGGAGAAGCAGCTGCCGCCACCGCCGCCGCCATTCTACTCTAACATGGAATTCCACCACGAGAGGGGTCTGATCAGGGTCAACGACCGGGACGTGTCAGACAAGATCAGCTCACTGGGCAGCCAGGCCATGCAGATGGAGCGGAAGAGGTCTCTTCACTCCCTCCCAGGTAACCTCGCCACGGTGGCAGGGGAGCTCCGCGCCAGGCCGGTGTACAGAGGCCGGTCTACTGAGAGCACCTGTGGCTATGATGCTGAATATGAAGATGGGGAACCCAACCAGCGACACTCAGGGAGGGCCAACGGTGGCAAACCTCCACCACCTCCTTGGCAGCCGTCCGAGTTCCAGGCGTACTCCAGTGTCTACGTTGGCGGGGTGATGATGGGTGAAGGTGGTGGCGGAGATGGGAGAGGTGGTGGTGGAAGTGGAAGTGGTAGTGGTAGTGGAGTCACAATGAGAGACATTGGAGGAGGCGATGACCACCTCCTGACCTGGCCACGCCGTTCCTACTCCCCAGGGAGCTTCGAGGATGTCGGTGGAGGCGGCGGCTACACGCCGGACTGCAGCTCCAACGAGAACCTGACATCCAGCGAGGAGGACTTCTCGTCAGGTCAGTCCAGCCACGTCTCACCCAGTCCCACCACGGCCTTCCGTCGACCCTTTAGGGAGAAGAGCCGCTCGCCGTCCCAAAACTCCCAGAACTCGCAGCACTCGTTCGACAGCAGCAGCCCTCCGACGCCACAGTCCCAGAAGCGTCACCACCGGCAGCAGGGAGGCCACGTGGTCATGTCTGAGGCCACTATTGTGAGCGTTCGCAAGACCGGTCAAATCTGGCCACCTGCTGCCCATCATGACCTCGTGCCCCACGGCAGAACGTCCCATGACAACAGTTACCATGGAGACCACCTAGGTGAGTGGTGGCTGCTGTCTCTAATCTGTGTGCTGGTGGGGAGCAGGTGGGCTGGAGTGTAAAGCACATTTCAGACCCTGTGCAGGAGCAGTGTGGCTGGATGAGTGTGTGGGAGGAGGAATGAATGAAAGCCTGAGTGAATGAGTGTAATTCTACTCATGTGTTGGCATCTCTTCTTCTGCATTTTTCACCTCTTCCTCACGTCTTTCCTCTTAAAACCACAAAGCAGCCAAATGTTGACGTGATTGATATTACGGGCGTGATAGTGTGTGTGTGTGTGTGTGTGTGTGTGTGTGTGTGTGTGTGTGTGTGCGCGCGAGCCAACACGCAGGACTGTGTGTTCTTTGGACGGCCCCGTGTGGGAGACAGATGAAAGATCCACCTCTGCTTATTCTTGGAATGTCAGGCGGGTGGGTGAACAATAAATGCGGTCAGTCTGGGTTGAAGCTGCAGGTCTAGCCTCTTTCAGACGACTCCTCCGGCTCTGAGTATGGAATTCCAATCACAGGTGTCTGTCTGCGTGTCTGTCTCTGGTTTGGCTTCTACAGAGTAGAAAACAATCCCCTGAACCTCCTCCTCACCAGCTTTTAGCACAAAAGAAATCCTCTCCTCAAACCATTCTGTGCAGTAACCCTAACTACTTAATTGCAGCCTTGGAGCCACAGTACCTCTAGCAGATAGATGTGCAGCCTGGAGCTCACCGGGCAGCGGCTAACTTTGGCTGTCAGGCTCAAGCCTAACAACAGTGGAGCGTGTTGCTCAAAGGAGCACATTAAGAGGGCTTAGGATGCTGTAATTCCTCGCTGAAGTTTCCACTGCAGAGGCGGTGCCAGCTCACAAGATGTGAAACCAAACACTGCTCGGGTAGTTCAAATATTTGACATCATTTTAAGTCAGTGAGTGTTGTTTACCGAGGTGCTGTTAGCCTGCACATTTCTGCTTGTTGTCTCTCTCTGGTTTGCTGCTGTTGGAAGTGTGTTTTAGCGCCCACTGTATTGTAACAGATTTGGTGCTGGCGCCCAGCTGGAGCAGACAGGCAGCAGGGTCAAGGCATCACACGCCTGCTCTAGTGCCAGGATGAAGTGGAAGGAGGGGAAGAGGTAGTCGGATAGTGAATGGGAGAGAGACAGAGAGGGAACTGGAGTATTAGATGCAGGGGGAGAATTAGAGCACTGAAAGATAATGACAATAATAGTAATAAACTTTATTTATAAAGCACCTTTCATACAAGGAATGCAACACGAAGTGCTTTACGATAAGGGAATTACATGCACCATGTGCTTCACATTTTAACAGACAGAATGAACCTTAAACAGGCCAACAAGGCAATTCAATATAAAAGGACATTTAAATACAATTAAACTTAAAAAATAAGATGGAAAAAACATACTTAGAAGGCATTATAACTTAATATCAGCAAAACTATAAATCATAAATCATAAAAACAAATAAAATATGACATTTTAAAAGAATTGCAGCAGTGCTAGGTGTAAAAAGTCTCAGTTTCAGACCTGTATCACGTTAGTCATAGCTAGTTAAAGGTCCAGTATGTAGGATTTAGGGGTCACATGTCCATTCTGAATGGACCACAAGTGCAAAAGACAAAGACAAAAAACACACTATATTTTTAAAAACACTGAATTTCCAGCACATAAATTTTATTTTTAGGTGCAGTTTCTTGCTGTAGAGTAGGTGAGTAGGTGGCTAGCTGACAGCGACTTGACAGACTGCAAACTAGTCGTAAACTGTATGGACCTTGAACTAATGACTAAAGAGAAATCTGGACCCTGTGGCTGGACCAGTTGGGAACAACTAATTTAGTTTATAATCACCTGAAAATAAGAAACGCCATGTTTTTGTTACCTTAGAATGAGCTGTCTATATCTACATTGGAAGTGGGGCCTAGTCTACGGGGATCGCCATGCTGCACCGCCATGTTTCCACAGTTGCCCACAACAGACGAACCAAACACTGTCTCTACGTAGGGTCATTTGTGTTTTCGTATAATCCACCATAGTTAGAAGTCTCTCCGCAATGAGCAACGTCTGAAACACATCGATTTTTCTGATGTGAAACTGCTTTATGTAGTGTTTTTACTGGTTTAAATCACCCATTCTGTTTGTTTTGGAGAGGAAGAGACCTCCGCGGATAGTTCGGCTCCCGGTAGTAAACCTCCTCAACAATGAACGCTGAAGGAATTTGGATCAGAAGTTTCAGCCGTTTGCAATCTGAAGTCCTCACCGCTAGACGCCACCAAATCCCCCCAGAAAGTGAAGAGATATGTTTTTAGTTACATATTTAGTGAGCTAGCTTCCCTGATATCTCTAGGTAGTGTGTTTTATAGCTTTGGGGTGTAATTGATAAAGGCTGCATCCCTGATCTTCTTCGGGTCGTTGTTGGACCCTCCAATAAACCAGCAGCAGATGATCGAAGTGTGCTTGAGGGCAAATACTCAACAAGGGATTTGGCAATGTAGCTTGGTCTGAGACCATTAGGGCTTTGTATATAAGGAGAAGGACCTTGAAATCAATTCTTAATGTTACAGGAAGCCAGTGGAGAGGAGCTTAAACTGGACTGATGTGCTCTCTCTTCTTGGTTCTGGTTGATAGTCGAGCTGCAGAGTTTTCAGCATCTTTTTGATGTATAAATACTTTAGCTAGCCATTTCAGCCATTTCTAAGGTAGAAGAAAGAGTGTAAGCTGAAAAGTTAAAGCTAATTTAAATGATGTGAAGGCCTAATATGATTAATGTTATGCTGTTGGTATATGTGATACAGGGCCAAAGACATTACTGTCATCATTCTGGGTAGCATTACTGTCTGAAATCTGATGCCGCTCATCGCCTAAATATCCTGAACAGCGAGCAGGTCTCTGTGCATCTATAATTCATTTATTTGAATAGAACCACTGACACAGTGGCCCTGGTGGAATCATCTAAAATGTTTTTCCAGACCGGATGCGACCATCAAACTGCAGGGTCCCATCCAGTCCGGAAAACCACCTCAGACATATTTGCAGTGAAAGTGAAAGACATCTCTGTTTAATTACTATTCTCTCCCTGATGACAACTAACAGGCAAACACCATCGACAATTATGCTAACATTTGTAGCTCTAACAGCAATTAAGATTGTGCACAGTTAGCAGATAGCGAGTCCCCAGCAAATGGCTAGCTAATTCCCCAGCTGCTATGTTTAGGATTATCACTGCACTGTCTGCTCTCTTTGTTTTAACATCTTTTCCACAACAGTGAGCCCTGTGGGGAGTGAGGCGAGCCGGAAGAGCAGGGATGGAGATGGAGGACTGGTTGGAGGAGGGGGCGGGGGGGGGGGGGTACAGACAGCGATGCATTTAGTGGGATAATCTGGACTTTGAGCATAAGAAGTAAAAATGTTGGTTAGACACCCTGCGGAGTGGTTTTGTTTTCTAGTCGGGGTTTAAGCCGAGGGCAGACGGGCGTGATGTTGCCAGAGAAGGTGGTGATAACGATGAATATTGCATCATTTTGGGGGCCCCGGCGGTGTGTAGTTTCAGCCGACGGGAGCGGAGCGGAGTGTGGAGTGGATAGTAAGGGAAGACGAGTGTGTTTTTGGTGGGCGGCTGATGATAATAATGAAGAGTGGGACGGTGTTTTGAGGGAGACTGAGGGAGGCAGAGTGCAAGGCAGAGCTGTCGTTTCTCGCTTCATTGGTCAGGGATGCGGGGGCTGCAGAGAGGCACAGATGGGAAGAACTCTCCCGTTGCGTAACAGAAACGCACAGACTCTGGCTCACACACAAAGACACACACACGCTTGATGTTTACTCTTATACCTTACGGCTGCCTTCAGCAATAGGTGTGCACGTATGTGTTCAGGTACAGTAGGATGTTTCGTGCTGGCGGTTGACCCGAGTCTGGAGGAGTCGTTCTGATCTATAGTGATTACTTCTCCTCTCTTCTCTGCATGCCAGCAACAGTCGTAATTGCCTCATGGTGTGTTTTGTTTATTTAATGTTGGGGAGGGTTTCAGGATGAAAAGTTGACACGCTGAGCTGAGTTTGTCTTTGTGACTACGACAGACAAACTGAGCGAAAGATTAAAATAGAGATATCTCCCTCGAGTGTCGTTCGGTGGGAAAGCAGAGGCGCTTGGCAAGGTAAAGCTAAAATATGTTTGGAGGCACAACCTTCAGCTGCCAACTTCTCATTTTTGAACTGAACTGAACAAACATGAGCGCCACAGTGTTACGTCAAGCATTCATGCCGAGTTAGATGACTGACAAGTCTCTTTAACGTCGCCATGACTCAATTCGTCATCTCTTCCTCTGTGAAAAGTGAAGAAAATTCTTATTTAATAAAGAATATGGATTTGGAAAGTTTCCCTCAAAGGTGGAAGAAGTATCAGATTTGTGGAAAGGTGAATTGAGATCAAAACCAAACCCCACACGAGTAACCCGCGGAAAGTTCTAGTGAGGTCAGCCCATTGAAGAAAGGGAGCTTTCACTGCTCTCTGTAATGAAATGGGTGGAAACCAAAAATGGCATGTTCCTCCATACGCTCTTTCCATTGATTCATTTAAAGGGAAATCTGCCTCTTAGCCAGAGAATACCTGTGGGTTTGTGTCTCTAAGGGGCGGGGATGCCAAAGCAGAACAGACCTGAGAAAGCTTCAATGGTTGTATTGTCCACTGCCTCCACCTCCCTCAGCTGGGTCCCGTCAGCGGCTATATTTTTAGGCAGGAACAACCTCTTGCTCTCTTTCTGTAACCTCTCTGCTCTTGGGGTTATTTATCACTTCATTTTATGACTCCCCAAACTATCTGGATTGGAGATACCACAAGAGCTGATGGAAAAAAGTAATTTCAGTAGTAATTTGGGTGCCAGGGAGGAGAGAGGCAGCCATGTGAGGGGAAAAGTGAACCACTGTGAAGCATTTTTATGGACATTTAAATTTGTAATTGATGTGAAATTGTAGCGCAAAAGACATGAGGCAAATTGAGCTGTTAGCTCACTAACACATGACCCG